ATACCAGAGACATGTGGGAGAATTCATATATTGTTTCAATCCAAATCAGGAATATAATGTCTAGAAACATAATAATTATATTAATATACTGTCACGTGTTGGATATGTCACACGACAAATAACTTTACGTGGGTCTCGGATTTAGAGAATCTTTATTGAACTTTCACTCTTACACACCGTACAATTGTTATCACTTGCAGTGTCACTTGACTTCTGGCCTAATACTTCAATGCGACGTCTCAAGTATCCTTGGCCTTGGCTGGATCTCAACTGTCTTCTGTCTGCATCGTATGGCGACTAGGATCCAACTGTGTTTTTGCTGTCTGTAGCTCTCGGCTTATGTAGGTGTTCTGCGGTCTCAGAAGAGGACACCTCTCGATCTCACGTGTTTGGCAATCCGTTGCTTCGGGAACGCTCCTTATACGCTGGTAACGAGTTTTGTCTCATCCGTTGTTACTCAACGGCCTTCTGTTGTTCTTCTCCGGGGAAACACGTTCGTTGTTTCGGCATTGTCTACGCAACGGCTCGCTGTTATTGCGTTACCGTGGAAGTGCCTATTCCAAATATGTGACATTTCTCCCTTCTAAAGGTTGATCGCCCCCGAACAACTTAAACGTTCTTCTTCTCTTCCATTTCCGCGGTGTTCTGCTGGCAACGTCTGAATTCGGTCTTGTTGTTCTGCTGGCGCCTTTTTGCGCTGTTCCTTCTACCGCATTCCAAACATGTGACAATACTATCGCCACAAACTAAAACACTTATTTTAACTGAAGAAAGCAGTCTTCTGGGATTTGGCACCGTGTATAAGTGGTGTTAACCGACGTTTCGGAGGAACGTATCGCCTCCATCTTCAGGGTAGAAGAAAAAGTATAAGAAATCTGCAAGCGACAAGACCGTGAGAATGGTAAAACCGTCTTGTCGCTTGCAGATTTCTTATACTTTTTCTTCTACCCTGAAGATGGAGGCGATACGTTCCTCCGAAACGTCGGTTAACACCACTTATACGCGGTGCCAAATCCCAGAAGACTGCTTTCTTCATAGTCACCGCCGTGAAAGCCTCAAATCTTACACTTATTTTAACTGGTTATCTCAAAGTCTAATATTCTGTTGGCACAGACCTAAATATTCGTTACTTTATCACAGAATAATTCTTTTTATAATACTCTTTTAGGAAAGAAACACTTTTAAAATTGAATGAGGAATTTTAGGGGATATGGATTAGCCCTCAAAAATTTCCCGGTTCAATACGCAATTCGATTTGGAGATATCTGAGATTTCAATTACACGTCACGTTTGTATGAGACTGGAGTTTTTGATATTTTTCTAAGTCGAACGTGGTTTTATTGCTTCTCGGTATGAGTCGGGACTTCTTTGTTCCTCACCAGAGTGTCCGGAACAGGCCGAGAACCCACACAGCCCCTTCTTAAAGGATAAAGGAGGTGAAACTTCAGGGTAGTGTCTCTCAACTCAGTGCCGTGATGAGGTCTTACATTATGTGGACCTGTACATTCACTCCTCTTTACGTAGTCGGGGATAGGCCCCTAATTCACCAATGAGGGTTGAACCCTTAAAATTTTCGACCCTTTTAATCCGTTTCTGCTAGTAACCACCCACGACTTCTCCAGCGCAAAACGGCACAAACGAGACAGTCTGTATGCAGCCCCCCCCCATAAATTGCTGATGCTGGCCTAAATGCTGATTTTGTCTTGGAAATCTCCACTCTTCGAATCAGTGTTGAACCTGCTGTAAGGCGTTATCCGTTCCCTACATCTCCAAGTTAACAGGGACCGGACATTATAGCCCTCCCCTCTTACTTTCTTCCTTTTCCCCTACTGAAATCTACACTCCCTCCTTTCCTTTCGTGCATCCCCTAGCGCGGAGTACACGGTGGTGTAAGCAGAAGTTTGTTTGCAACAGCATGGAACTGACTTGACTACAGTTCATTATTCAGAACTGCAAATGTGCCAGGTTGACAGTGTATTACTACTCATTCCCACCCTCAGACTGCGTTCTGTGACACGCTGCCATACTCTTGTCGGCGTGGGGAACTGACACGTTTGTTTTGCAAAGACTGCAGTACTGTGAGAAAAGAAAAACAGTTACGTGGACGGAAGCTCCCTGTGGTAGCGGGTACGAAGTGAAATATAAGTGTTTCTAACGTGTTTTCAAGTGTGCTGTACTGTTAGGAAAGAACACTAATGGGATGGAACGTGTTTTGACTCAGTGCAAGTATAATAGCCACGTGGGAATCTACATAGTGACAGATGAAATACTTGTCTCTGTTCGAACTTACTACAAGGTAAGATGAGAATTTTGTTTACTGAATACACCATATAAGTCAGGCGTTACAGAACAATAGTTTAAGTTTGAAAAAGATACCAAACCGCAGTTAGCACGTACTCAGTGTTTGGACATGAACACTCAGCCGATGTATAGGTTAAAAAATTCTGATGGCAGCGGATTCAAATTTTGTTCCGAGAACTAGGATTTAGTCGTTGCCTTCCTCAGTGCCTTGAGAGGCAAATGCTAGGATAGTGCCAAAAATAGACGCGACTGCTTGTTTCGAAACCTTGCCCATTCATACTGTCTAATCATTCAACCGTGCAGTTGACAAAGAGGACCACAGAGCAACCTCTTACTTTCAACTTCAGGTAATACATACGTCATATAAATAAAGATTTAATCTTACAGTAGTGGGGGGTGGAGTCCAGCTGGGTCCACTCGGCACGGCGGCCACTGATTGGCCTATTGTACCTGCTCCGGGTGATTATTTATGAAGATGGGAAATTTGGTGGCATGAATATTGGCAGGGGAAACCGAAGTACTCGGAGAAAACCCGCCACAGCGCCACTTTGTCCACCACAAATCCCACTTGACCAGACCCGGGATGGAACCCGGGCCGCCACGGTGGGAAGCCAGCGACTAACCGCTTGAGCTATGGCGCGGCCTGGCTAATCTTGCAGTAACTAACCGTATGGTAGTAGAATCAGGAAGTCCGACATCGCAAATAGGCCCAAAAACCCCATTATTGAACGCTATCGGGAACAAGTTCCATCAGCCTCCCAGCCTGACACTTTGTTTCTCCGAGACCCGCCTAAATATAATACTTCCATTTCCTCTGCCTTTCAAGTTTTAATTTTCCAAGAGATTTCTCCACTAAAATTCTCTATAAAAGATAAAAAAACTAAAGACATATCTTTGCTTAACTAATTAAACACTACGTCATGAAAGTGTGTGGGGGGTGGATGTATGGATCCATATTTTCTTGACCAAGGCACCAGCTGGAGGTGAGTGGTCAGCTTCACGCCCCGGCCGCTTTACTTCCTGTATCCATTGAATAGGAGGTTGGGTGGGCCCTAGAACCAGCCTGGACGGCATGGGGGAGAGAAAATTTGTGATCCTACCGGGACTCGAACTCCAACCTCTCAGCCGTCCAGCCCGTAGACAGTCGATGTACCGATGTACAGGAGTTTCATACCAAAATTCTCTATGCTTTCCTTCTCTACCCCACCGTGCCCCGTTGTACTCCTTGATTTTGGTCTCCGAACAACACTAGGTGTTCTGCGCGAATCACAACATCCCTTCATCCCTTATTTTTTGGCTATTTTCATTTCAGACACCCCTAGTTTACGATATTCCCTCAGATAAGAGACGGCGTTTCACACAAAATATTCTGCCCAGACAAATTTTCTAGTAGTAGAGGAAGAATGTTTAACATGGCTACGCGTAAGCGCGCCATTCGACAATATCCTGAGCCGGTTTCACCCACTTCCCGTCCTCTCGTTCTGCTTGCTCTTAGCTCCATCATTACGATGTTCTTTCAGTTCCTTCTTGGTTCTCCCAGTGGCCACTTTCGTCGAGTTCAACAAAGCACAAATTTGGTAAGAATTCATCACAACATGTGTAGCATTTCATGGCGCAAAACTAGACCCTGTCGCCACGTCACAACAAATAGAGCGCCCAAGTTTCGAAAGAATACCAGACGTATCCATGCTTTAAGTACTGCCATGATTATGTACCCCTCTCATGGTATATTCTGCTCTCTGTTGTAAGAAAACCATAACAACAAATTATAGGATACAACTATGACAGTATGAAATATATTGTCACGTGACTGAGTTTCCCAAGTGTCCTGCGCGTGTATCATGTCCTCAATACATGCTACATGTCTTGCCCATCTCATCTTCTAATTAGTATATTGTATTCAGGGAAGAATAAATATTTTGAAGGCCGGTCACGGTAGCCGAGCGGTCTAATGCATGCACTGTCTTCGCTCGCTCGGAAGCCGGGATAGTGGGTTCGGATCCCAAACAAGGCAAGGATATTTGGTGTGTGTATGCATTTATTCTGTGTTTGCGTACAGGTAAAAGCCTTGCGACGAGCTGATCACCCACCTAAGGAGTTCTACCGAATGTCTAAGATCTAGCAAACCGAAGTGAAACGGAGAGTTTCATGGAGGTAGGCAAAGGCCCAAATTGGAGCTGTAGCGCCAGAAGGGGGAAAAATATTAAGCTTCTCGATGTGTACCTATATTCATCCTCCCTTAATTTCTATTCCTTTAGCTCTAAATATTTTCCTCGGTATTTTTTTCGACGTAGGATGAGATACCTAGTTTCACACTCGCATAAAACCTATATAACTATAATCTAAGATACTTTAATCTTCAGATATCCAGACAGGGTACGGGAACAAATTATTGTTACGATCATCAACTGGGGGGAAAACGAGAGAAGAAATGCATGGAAAACTTTGCAAAAAAAACCTCTAAAGTGACCTACTATTTGTTAGAATTGCTCTCTCCAGGTGAGTGTCTTGAGAAAACTGTCTCTCCTTTTCTAAATCTGTCCCTACTCCCTATGTGTGATCGTCTTCCTAGCCCATTCTACGCGAGATGGACGACTTCCTGCAGTAACCCATGAATCTGTGCATTTACTTATTGGGTTATGATACATGTCTTGCAACGTCTTGTTACACGATACTGTTCCTTAACTGTGGTATCACAGATCTGGGCATGACGCCCGACACAGAATCAGAATTCTACGTGAAAGAGATCAAGGACATGGTGAACATTGTGCAGAGGCTTCTGGCAGATGGTAAGTAAATTGATTGATTGATCGTATGCCTCCGCTTTCCTCCAGCAGTGTGTTAATATCCATTATGGTTACAGGATAAATGCATTGCGTACATTATGACCAAAGCAGTGCCGGAGTATAAGCAAAGTAAAGAGGTAAAGTTGTTCCTGTGACGAACTAATTAAACACTACACCTTGAAGGCGTATGGGGGGAATGGATATATATAGATCCTTATTTTCTTGACATCGGCACTAGCTGGAAGCGAGTGGTCAGACTCATTCCTTTGCCCCCCCCCCCTTACACGTCAGAGTCGGAAATCGAAGGAACGTTTAAAAAAATCATAGAAAGTAAAACGAACATAGTTTGGAATAACAACAGAAGATGGAGGGTTACAAATCGAAGAAAAGTGATTCGCAAAGGCTTCAACAATACATTGAGGTTGCATTATTTCATTTTCTCCAATTTTGAGTCAGGTGAAAACATGATCATTCTTCTTAAACTTAGACATATTTTCAAAACTCATTAGGTTTAGTTTTCAGATTATCATCGATAGATTGTAACCAATGAAGTCAGTCTGATTTAATGGTGATTTTAACCAGAAAAAAAGACACTATAGTTTTGATCAGATTTTGATTTCTTGTATCTACTGAAATATTGATTCTTCTTCTTAATATAACACTTTAAAGAATTATAATACCAATGCGGAAGGGAAGAATTTGTCTATCTTATAGGAGGAATGGCTAAATCTATAGCTTCACGCACTGTCAGTGGTGCTATTCACTGCAGGGTCAATGGAATTTTCATTTAGAACACATGACCAGTCAGAACGACGTCAGACATTATAGAGTAGCAGGTAATCACCTTGAGCCTAGTTGCGATGAGGGGTCAGGGATATGACAGTCGAACATTAAACTGAAATCAGAAAACGTGCTGGATGGTACTTATCAGGAGTGCCCACGGGAGAGCTTGAAATAGAAACGCTTATGTCGCTAATATGTGAGAACACTAAATCGAGTGGTGAACTATTTATGATAAGAGTTACTGCGTTTATCAAGAGTAAGAAAGCAGGTGGCCATGTACATTGAATTTCTTTTAATTTTATTGTAGTATTAAGAATCGGGATTGATGAGAGTGGCCGCGCGGTCTAAGGTATGAACTGTCTCCGTTCGCTCGAACGCTGGAATCATGGGTTCCAATCCCACTCAAGGCATTGATGTCTGTTTGCATTTATTCTGTCTTTGTGCTGTTCTGTGTGTAGGTATTGGCTTTGCGACGGGCTGATCCCCCGTCCAAAAGTCCTACCGACTGTGTATAATATTAAGAAACTGAAAAAGCGGCCGGTCGAACAAAGAGGACTGTACGAGTAGGGCCATAGATAGATTGGATAGGTTAGACAGATAGATAGTAAGACGCCATGAATGCGGTCATTGTTGAGTACAATAAAATCACCTAACATGATTACCTGTTACTAACTGTGCGTTTAAATTTTGTTCTATAATAATTCAATTCAATTCAGTTCATGTTTGTTTACGAACAAACTTAACAGCACAGTGACCAATTACAAAGATAGTACGAGTACACAGAAATACACAAAAATAATTAAAGAAATATGAGAGTCTATATAATAACAATAAATTAATAATAATTCGAAGAAAAATTGAACTTAGCTTTAACAGGCGAGAAAAATAGAATATGTGCACTTCCAATAGTTATGGCATTTGTGGCGAGAAAGGACAATACATGTACAAAAAAAAAAGATCCGTGGCCTGTAGTCCGCAAGCGAACTATACCGACCCACATAGAAAATAATAATAATCAAAAATAAACTTCATTGAGCCGGTCACGGTAGCCGAGCGGTCTAAGGCATGCACTGTTTTCGCTCGCTCGGAAGTCGGGATCGTGGGTTCGAATCCCACTCAGGGCATGGATGTTTGTGTGCGTTTTTCTATGTTTGTGTACAGGTAGAGGCCTTGCGACGAGCTGATCTCCCGCCCAAGGAGTCCTATCGAATGTCTAAGATCTAGTAAACCGAAAGTGAAACGGAGAGTTTCATGGAGGTAGGCCTAGGCCCAAATGAGGGCTATAGCGCCAATGGGAAAAAAACCTTCGTTGGCGTTAAATGTCCTATTGTTCAGGCTCATATCATTGTATTTCAAAGACAGAGTGCTTTTACTACATGAAAGCACAAATTTCCACCTTAAAGACTGTTACATGCTGAAAATTGTTGTGTCAGTGAGGGCCGAAGACAACAATTGCTTGTGAATCTGGCATAACAAATAAAAAACCACGCAAATATTTTGCCCCAGACGGCCATTGTAGTGTCGGTTCTGTTGCTGCGTGACATGGTTGCTTTTTTACTCGCCAAGTTCTTATCATGAGAGTTGCCCTCTTTCGGCCTTCTCTCACCGGCCGTGAGAAGGCGTGCTGCAGTTAATACCCAATGTATCCAGTCCACGTAACTTTAATAACAATGCTGGACCCCCTACCCTTCTCTGTCTATCACATAGTCTCACAAGCAGTTGCTCAAATTACGTTTCATTTCTGATGTGTTTCATTAAGAGCAATTTTTTTACAAGTGCAAAGAAAAAGAACGCGTAATGGGATGGTCTGCCTGTACGTCCGCCTGTTTCATCTAAGAAACCACGCGACGGATTTAGACTAAATTTGGCCAAGTAAAATTTTAATTTTATATAAAAATGCTTACTGCACAAGAGCTTGATAGCTGACTTAAGGTATTAATTAAATAAACACTACAGCTCGTCAGAAAGTTTGCTTTCGATATGATGAATATTAAACCGAATAAGAAGAGGAGGAACTCTTTTATTATATAAAATGTGGTGTCTGCAGATTTTCTGGTTGCAGTTGGTTTGTGCACTTGCCAGTTCTCAATGTGGCTCGCCAACTTGAACATTCATAAATTGCATAGTACAATTGCATTGATTTGCGAAGCAGAAGAAAATCACGTAGTCCATGAATATACTCTCAAGTAGCACTGAAAGGCCAAGCGAAAGAAATTAAAAAGAACATAAAATGAAGCAAGTGTTCGGCCTGCAGTCTGGCGTTAAAGCGTGGCCGAAATGAAGCTGTTGCGGTCCGAAGCTGGACATTATTGTGACCATAAATGATAATCAGTAAGAAAAACGAATAATTCAGTTCATATGACCTTGTGTCACTTATGAGCTATTAGAATGAAGACATTCGCATGCCAGTTCGAAGTTTACATGACGTTTAATATGATTATGAAATAAAATTCACCGCTTGATTGTTGGTTCTGTAACATGTCGCGTGTATGGTACTTGATGGTTTTTCACACTCAGATTGTGGTCTTCTGTGCGTGTAGTCTGGTAGGTAGACACCATTGTTTCGGAGAGATGTTGTGTCTCCAGCCCGTCAAACATTATTCAGTTCCTTACGTACTGTACTACAGTACTGCAGCGCTCTGTTAAATGCCTTACTACTTAACCAACCAAAGAAATTCTAAGGGTTCTGACAGTGATCTGTAACACTAGGAATTACTGGGATTTTGGAATTCATTCATCGTTCGATACTCGAAACAGCTAGAGAATACAACGTTCCGGAAACTGGATCTGTTTCCGTCTTCGGGTGAAGGGGGGATACCTACTCTGTTGGGTCCCTTAGAAAGAGCTAGGTTTAGTGATTAAGATTAGTTCTCTCTAACGGACTCAACTAAGTAGGTGTCTCCCCACTCATCTGAAGATGTAAACAGATCCAGTTTCTGAAGCGTTGTGTTCTATAGTTCTTTAGAATACAGGACGATGGACAAAGTAAAAGAAACAGTAATTCGTAAGTAACTAACTTTTTACAGTAGAATTTGAAATTTCTGGCGGGTGCAAGCGGTAGCGTAATTGGTTGAGGCACTACGCTACAAGCCGGAAGGTCGCGGGTTCGATTCCAGATGATGTTTTTGGATTCTTCATTTGACCTAATCTTTCCAGCCCCACTATGGCCCTGGGGTCGACTCAGCCCGTCACAGAAATTAATACCAGGAATCTTCCTGGGGGGTAAAGGGCGGTCGGCGCGTAAGGCTTACAACCTCACCTCAATCTGTGATCCGATTATCTAGAAAATGTGGGGCCCTCAACATCTCACATAACCCTATGAGCCTCCACGGACGGTTACGGGGATAGCTTTATTCTTCTAACTTGAAACTCAAATACTGGTAAAAGGAAACGCCGCCATTGGATACGGTTTTGATATTCATCTTCCGTTTCCATCTCCTTCCAGATATTTGGAGTCTTGTATCGTCTTTTCCTCTTCTTCCATGACACGTCTTCTCTTGGCGCGAAGCAGATCTCACCATTTCTTTTGGCGTTGTGTGGAATTTTGTTTACGTAATTTCCGTCATGGCACTGTAAATCAAAACCTGCTTTCTTGCAACGTAATCAAAAACAGCAAGACAATAGACGGCCGATATGTGTCAGCAACATGAGGAATCTGCGACGGTTCTTTGTTAAGGAGATGCTTTTTGAGACATTAATAGACAGTTTGGAATATTGCTGCTCTTACTGAATTGTTTGAACGGGTTTTGTATTGGACGTCTCATATTAAGTAGTAATTTCTTATTACAGAATATTATACAAGTGTTAAAAATATTCTGGAAAATATTATAACATGGATGGCCAGAGCTATTCTAGGCAGCGACCTGTAAACAACCCGTCATTTGGTCACGCGTACCACCATACACGTGACAATATGGAAGTATAAGAAGCACCAAGTAAGTTGGCAAGCAGAATGTCACGTACTGGGAAACTTGGTGATTTACTATTGTCTAATATTGTTAGGATAAGGAGTGAAATCAAGGTAGCTACGGTGGATCAGATACATAGTTCAGATGCGAAGAGAAGAAAAGAATGGAGGTAAAAACAAATCGAAAATTTGTAACGGAGGAGATAACAGTTCAGCATTAAGTCCCAACCGAAGGCGGTAGTTGATCTCTTTTCAGGTCCTCAAACAATTTTATTTTAACTTTTGTTTACCAGGGAGACGGGATAACGTAGTC